ACCTATTCCTCTTCACATCTTAAAATCACCTCCTTCCCCTTTTTTATGCTACATCAAAAATAGTGAGATGTGTATGGACAAATAGCAATTCCTGCATTCTTTTTGGTCTTATTAAGAAAAGAAAATGCGCAGCCCTAATTAGTTTGGTTTTGGAAACGGCCTTCCATTTAACAGCCCCTTCCTGCACACATACTTTGGATTGCTTTGGATATCAAATTCTGAAGCATGAGACTTTGGGAATAAACCTCATTGAATTATTAGGATTTACTGCTGAATAAAAATGAGCACAAAGACACCGCATGAAAGGCTATGGACTCAGAGAATTAGATCATCTGCTTGGAAAGTTTCTGTCGCTTAGTTTTGAAATTACAAATCTAACATTTGTTTTTTCTAGCTCCATGAATATATGGGAACAGGGTTTCCTTAATAGGTCAAGGATTAGGAATTTACTGAGCTGGTTAATTATAGATAATCAAAATTTGTGTAAGATTTGCATATATTAAAACCTAGGATATAAGGCCATACTATCAATCTTTCCTCCTGTTAAAAAATGCTGTCCAGTTTCTAAACATTTTTAAATTTAATCATTAAATTATTATAATAAATTAAAGCTACAGCAACTGTCTTATTATCTTATAAAGCATCTAAGAAGCCTAATATAGAAGATTCAGCCATTGGTAAACATACACCACTTAATTTATTGTAAGTACTTAAATAATATGTACCTGTGTACAATGTGGAAAAAAATTAGTAATAGACCAACAATTTCACAGTAATACTGTTAATTACAACTAAGAATTTCATTACATTAAAAAGTATTTTTAAATAACAGTAATAGCCAAAATCAACAAAATTTTGTTGAGATCTTTGATCTCATTATTATGTTCTTACATTTACAAAATCACAACACATTGTCGGTATGACTGCTTTAATTTGATCCTAAATTGAGGAGAATCTTCAAGTTGTTTCTTTTACATGATTATAAAAATCAGCCTCAGATTTTTAAATTAGATCTCATTAGCCACAGTATGGCTAGCCTATCTGGAGATTTGTTTTTTTTTAGAAAAAGAATAAACAATACACTTTTCCAGAAAAATTCAGATTAGCTTTATCCCTTGAAAAAAGACTGTGTTTTATCTTAATCAGCTTACTGTTTGGGCTTCCCCATAGCAATAATACAAATGATGAATACCTGTGCAAATCAAACAAGCATTCATGAATGACACTATAGTCTAACAGACCACATTAAACTTTAACCTGTATTTTTATTGCAATTCAAGCAGTGGTATACCAGTGACCCCAGCCTCAATTTCCCATAGACAAAATGGGAACAAATGTAGCATCCTAACTAATATTAAAATATTCCCAGTTTCACATTGTGTTATCCTCTCCACTCCTGTACCCAAGATTTCATTTACTGCATTGTTCAATATCTTACTCTGTTGACCTGTTGTGGCAGAGAAGTCTTATTCCTCCACAGCTCAGTGCTCTCCATATAGGTTTCTAACCACTGTCCATGCCAGTTAGGAATACTGAGAGTTTTAAGTCCTAACATATATGGAAGACATCAGGTTTTGGAAAGCTACACTAGATTCTTTCTCCCTAGTGGCTTCCCTTAAATGTGACAGGTCATTTATGTACTACCATTTCTCTTAAAAAGTTGTATGAAGGAACAGTGTAAACTTTCAACATGGAAGCATATGTAAAAAGACAACAAACAAAACAACCACTTCATCTAACCTAAATACATGATTGATATTTAAATGATGAGGTGAGGTTTATTAACTGCATCTATCTTAGAATGTTATTACACATTACGTGGATTTTGCTAACAGCAACCCACACCTCACTCTCCTTTCCTCCAATGTACACACCCAGTATTGCAAAAAACATCATATGGTATTTTTCCCTTAGCTTCTGGTTTGCACATCTGGCAGCCTCAATGAATGAGGCCATGTGGGGAGGAAGGAGATTTGAAGCACAGTAATGGTATATCACACATGTTGGTTTACTCCAAAGATAATTATAACAGAGAAAGATAGAAAGGTCTTAGCTCCTGATTTTACACTTTATAATAGAGCTACTGATACAATCAAGGATATGTAAATGCCAAAATGTAGCAAGCTTTCTATTTTCTGGGAGGAGGTGTCACAGAATATCCTATATCCTACATGGCTCATAGAAGGCTACTGCAGAATTAAAAATAAATGCTCTGCTCCCAGTATCAAGGTTCATGAGTAGTGCATGTGCGGAAGATTTGCCTTGGAACATATGGGACTAAGCTTTTGGGCTGGAGTTCTAGAGTGTTTTGTGATAGCACTGTGTTAGACCCACATCTAGAACAGGCCATATCTACAGCAACACAGAGAACCATTGAACACATTTTCAGTGCTGCCACCTTTTGTGGGAAAGAGGCCATCTAGTCTAAGTCTAGCAGCAGCTCCCCTGGACTGTTACCATTATTGGAGCAGATGATCCCAACCATCATTTTAGTGCCTGGAGAATCTTCCAAGTGCATTATTCTAATCATTAATGTGCATGGTCAATCTCCCCTTTCCCCTTTGATTTCCATTTTACTATTTTCATGCCCACAGCACAAGCAAGAATGAATTCTCCCCCACTGCATTCTCCTGATTTACTGCAATTAATAATGCTGTCACATTGTTAGTAGATCTAACTAGCTTCACACTAGTTAGGTCTATTTGTTTTAGGTCTGCACAGAATACTGCTGTCTAGTCTCCTATATATTAAATCTCTTATCCCGTATGCTCACTACAAATAAAGGGGGACATCCTACTGACCTGGACAAGAGAGGGCTGGCAGATAAATAAACATATTAAAAAGTGGATGCAGCAACATTTTTAATACCATGCTATCATCATTCCAAAAGTCACCCTTCATTGTTGTGAAGCCAAATGAATGAAGTCAGCACTTGCCTTTGGTTCCAACATGTTAGGCATAGATACTCCTCGGTCCATTCGCATTCCAGGGACATGACCATCCGGGTGGAACTGTATCAGATACAGGTAAGCATATAGATTACATCCACACCCACGCAAACCCACCCAAATAGAGTAAAGGCATTCCTGCTGAGTATGGACATGAATTTCTGCTACGGCTCCAAAGTTGAGATATGTATAATAAATGTAATTATGCCCAATACATATTATACTTAAATATTTGACTCCTAACTGAAGCGGCCTTTATTCATGGTCCTCTCTTTGAATTATGAAGATTCCCAGGGACTCTTCCCAGAGACTGATTGACAAGATAAGAGAACTTTCTGGTCATAAAAAATACAAACTGTTAGATCAGTTTTAAAAAATATTGAACATTCTATTTTTAGGCCGTAGCTTCTTATTTAAAAACATAGCCCCTTTTGCTCATCCAGAATATCCATAGACCATTATTCAGGGAATGAGGAATGGTAAGAAAACTGCCCCACAGAGTGATTCATTGCTGTAGTTCTAGCTATCATCTTTACAGTATTTGATTGCTTTCCAGCTGAACTATATTCTGAGCATTTTACCCTTTTACTTTTTAACAAGTAAAATTTTTAATTCCCATCTACATCAATTAATTCCTATGAACATGTCTTTCTTTTTAAAAAGGCATAATGCATAATAAAGGCTTTCCTGTAACTGTTTACCTAGTGTATAGAAACTTCCATAACAAGTAGTAATATTCAATCATCTAAAGAGAAGGATTACGTTTAGGAAATAATGGCCATTTTATAAAGCCTCAAAAGTGCCTGTTTTATATAAAATTCTTTGGCAGTTTTTTATTCCAAGCCCACAATAAAATATAAAGAAGACGACAGGGAATCAACTGGAAAAGAAGAGGAAGGATATAGCTACAGAATAAGCAGGATTATATTTAGATTTTCTTTGGATAGTACCAAAGTGATCAGGAGAAATCCATCAATGAGAGAACTGTCATTGATTGCTTCTATGACAATCTTAGGAAAGCTTGCTAAGAAAATCACAAAACTGACTGTTGAAGATACTCTGTTATTTATGTCTTTTCCATAGTGATGTAATTATATCATTAATAGTAATAAAACATGCAGATTAATATGTGCTAAGAAACTCCTCTCAGATGTGAATGCATTGTTGATGAATTTGTTTCTGTTACTTGATGGACGAAAATCTCTACCAACCTGGTAATCTGAAAAGTGATATATGGAGAAAAGACACACAATCAGAATGAGATTCTGAACAATAAAGGTTTTAAGCACAGAGTCTTTCATAAAGATTATTACCCCATAGTCTGCAAACATAAACTGATCAGAATGAAGCAATATATTGATACACATATGCCTGTCTGCATTAAACTTCAGTTTCATTTTTACAATGTCCTCTTCAATTTGAGTATAGTATTGAACCAGATCCTCCCCCCCGACTTTTTTTTGGAGAAATGGCAAGTATACCCATATTCCAAGATTAAAGATGGTGTCCAAAAGCTATACAGGTAGTCCTTGCTTAAAGACCACAATAGAGACCATAAAATTGGTCATTAAGTAGGGCAGTCATTAAGCGAGTCACCATGTGACCAGACCGATTTTACAACCATTTTTACGATGGCTGTAAAGCGAATCACATGGTCATTAAGTGAATCATGTGGTCATTAAATGAATCATGTCATTGTTAAGCAAATCATGTGGTTGTTAAGTGAATCCAGCTTCCCCAATGGATTTTTTTGCCAGAATTCACTTAACAACCACATGATTTGCTTAATGACCACAGTGATTTGCTTTACGGCCGTTGTAAAAATGGTTGCAAATTGCGATCACATGACCACATGGGTGGTGCGACACTTTTCAATGGTTATAAGTGTGAGTACAGATCATAAAGCACTTTTTCTAAGGCTGTCGTAACTGCAAACTGTTGTTAAATGATGTTTAACTACAAAAACGTAACAGAAGTATCCTAGCAAGCATAAGGGATGATGAAAACACACCTATAGCCCAAACCCCACACTCTATTTCCTTTACAAACTTACCTCGAGCTGCACTGCTTACATCACCATAACTGCTGTATTGACCAAAGTCTGTGGACATCGGCTATATATATATATGTATATATAAAAAAAAGTTTGAACAGGTAAATCACATTATCTGCACATTGAACAATAGTAAAAAGATCAGCGCAAAGCCCATGTGAAAACATGTCAATACCACTCTCATCTTATCTGGAAGTATCCATGGCATTCACAAAATGTGCATATAAAAACTGACAGAAGACAATGAAAGGGAAAATAAGATAGTGGTACAGAAGGAATGTTATTGTACCATATGCCTATAAAGCTATATGTAAAATATACACTGAGGGTGAGAAAGAGCAGAAATCTCTAGTCTACAATGTTATTTTATGACTCCTTAAAGTGTCCATTTTTGTCAATAATTTATCACTATATCTTTCCTGAGAGGAGCAAATTCAGATTTTTCATATTTCTGCCCATGGAGCCAGAATATCTTGCACCAGCTTTATATGGACAGTATTGAAATATGTGCTCAAATTAAACTGTTTCTTAACTATCACACGGCTTCCACAAATAAATAATATTTATGATAAAATCCACCAACAATTTAAAAGACATTTTATGTAACAATTGATTATCATTCTTGGTTTCCTATCTGAGTTCTGCAGCTTATCTTTAGATATTGCCTGTAAAGATTTCCCCAAAGAATGTTCATAGTCCAAGATGTTCAGATAATGTTCAATTCTTTTTGATAGAGAGCTAGAGAGGAATGTTCTAAATATAAAAAAGTGATGAGATGGAGATAGCAGACATAAATCTCTACTCCCTCTCCCCCGAGACAAGGATGAGTAATCAAGGTCTATTTTTGAAAAAGAAACAACAGAAAGTATCAAGAGCCTTTTTTAGGACTCTGAGAGACTGGAGTGGGAGCAGAACATTTATTTGAATCTCTTATTTCTTTTCACCATATCTTATGACAATATAATGTTTTTTTCCATTGGATTTTACCCACTGAAATAAATGACCCAATAAAGGGGAGACTGTCACCTCCACTAAGTAGATCAGACCACAGAATCAATTCCACAGGATGTCTACAACCATTTTCATTGAGATTTGCTGTAATAAAAGAATCTTGCAAGTCTGATTTTGCTGTACCTCTTCCTCTTCCTTATTGTCCAGTGAATTAAGGAGGCGTTTGTCTGAGCCACTTCTGAACATTACCTGGACATTCTGGACTTATTTAGATCCATTGGATCATTTCAAATGTTAAGCCCTCCTCCAGGTGAGGTGGCCTTTGTAATTGCCCCTTTTGTTTTCTTCCACCACACACATAAAAAGCCTAAAAGTACAGTTTGAAGCAGGAAATAAGGCAGACTGGAAGAAAAAAATGGAAGAACAATCTTGAATGCTAAGTAAGAACTTCTGTGCTGTTTGTATGATGTTTCTATTTTTATTGTTTTTTCCTATTTTGTTTTTATTTTATTTTTAACATTCCTGATGTATGTTACTTTAAGCATTTTTGTTTTATATTGTGTTTTTAACATATGTATCTACAGAATTTTACTAAAGTGTAGTTTTGCTGTTATACAACAGAAAAAACGGTTTCAGAACCAGTTAACTTTCCCCCTTATTTAAAGCTTTTTAGAGGCTCATCAGAATTTGAAATTTGAACTGCACTTTCTTGTGTGTGAAGAATTGTCTGCTCACCCTGTGAAGTCCATTTCGTCCATACCCAGGGAGTGAAGAAGTTTTAGAAGCAGATGCATGTAAAGCTAAGTGAGAAGGAGAAAACAATAAAACTTTCATTATTAGGACATAACAATACATAGTCAAAGTCGCAACATCTTAGAAATCAGTTAAAAATGTTGAAAGTGTAAAATTGGCAATAATTTTACCTTGATTTTTTATCCAGCATATAACATTTGGCTGTGGAATTTTCATTTCCTCTCTAATTTTACAGACATAGTTGGATTTTAACTGTCTACAAGTCACTCTACACGTTACAGAGCAACCATCTCTTGCAAGTTGTGCCATATGTTCATGGTTCAGCACAATGTCAAATCCCGACTGATTCAAATTGGTTAAAACATACTTTCTCTCTTAATTTATTTTCTTGCACACACTAAATAAGCAAAATGCTGCTCTTCTGTCCGTGGTTATTTGCAAGCTGGAATTACTATTGTTTCCATATGGTACAAATAGGAGGCAGAGTCTGAGGTTAAAAAAAAGTAGCTTGTCTAAGGCAATCTACTAGCTTTATGACTCAAATGAGGTTTGAACAGGCTACTCTCTGTAACCATACACACAGACACATTTGTATACACTGAAGTGAGTCATTTTTATAGGATTTCTGCCTTGATGCAGACAGATGGAATGAAAGCTATAATCACCCTTGTCCTTCTTTAGTTCTGTTACTGTCATGGCCCTGGATCTCCTGGCACAGGTTTGTGTGTGTAAAATATATTTTAGAGATCTGAAAAGGGCATCAAAAGCTCACAAATTATAATGAAAATATGTGCACATAAGCATACACACAATTCCTGTAACAGTAATTATATCTTTGCTTATTCTCTGAAATGTATCACAGTTTGCCCCAAAGACCTGTCTGATGATGTTGCTGAAAATCCAGCATTTTGAATGCATTGCCCCACTCATTGAGGCTAATTTCCTCTCCTAATGAGGGAACATCTAAAAGGCTATGAGAATCAACAAGGTAAATGTTGCTTTCTCAATCATTATTCATGAATTTACTTGCTGGATTTTTAGAGACACCCATATCCTTTCATAAAGATGCCCATTATAAGAGTGGGACACAGTCTTTTTTCCCTAAACTTTTTTAAACATTTAAAAATGGAGATGCGTTTACTGTCTAAAATTTATTTTATATGAAGAGGTAGTAAAATCTTGTATTTTTAAAAAGTACTGTGTCACCATATGTGATTTCTGCATAGATTAGCAGTACAATTTTCTGCAGCCAATCCTAAATATAATCTTCTCACAGACTTGCATTAAACTGTTTGGTGCATGTTCTTCAAAGGATCCACTGACAGCTCTGAATGACGTGGAAGAGACAGCTGACTGGTGGCAGATATACACTCAATACTGGAAGGATTTTATCTTATAAACTGTAAAATGGGTCAATAAAAGCTTTTCATCAGAGATGATCAAAACATGAATTAGAATTTAAATTAGTTCTAATTTAAAGAGGTACTGAAACACAATATATACCACAGTATCTTTATATTATTTTAGAAGCTCATGCAAGTGTGCTTTTCAAGAAATCAGCATTGCGAGCTACTTCTCTGTATTACTGATTAGCTATAAGATAACATAAAATTTCAGAGAGGTAGCCAGTTTTAGTTTGCTGCAGCAAGGACAACTGTTGCCCACAAAGGCTTAGCAATAAACTTTTTAAGATGCTACAAAATTTTCTGCCTTAAAATAAAATGTATTCAGATATCCTAGATCTTCCAAACAGTTAACAGTTTCTGGTGTAATTGCAATTATAATTGGAACGCAGTTCCAATGGGAACACAGTTACTTTTTGGGCATTTCTTCTTTTGATTTATTCAGTAGATGCTGAGAAACTTGCATTTGGAACCTTTCTTCATTTAAAAGCATCAGATAATTAATTGTGGGAAATAATTAGAGTTATAATGGAGACTGGTGACAAATTAGAGAGAAAGCTACTTCCTTGTTATTATTTAGAAGCTATGTTTTGCATTTTCAGAAACTGAACTGCAATAACTTAGATGAGATGCAGCCTTAATTTAAACACTTGACAATACAATTCTCTTCTGTACAAGTCTATTCAAAAATAAATCTCACTGAAGTCAATTGGCCCAATTGTCAGCTATGTGCATATAGGGATTGTAGACCTAGTTCACCATGTCCCATAATCCCTTATAGTTTTCTAGATTTGCTGCTTACATGAATTAACTGGAGAGTCGTAACGACTGCTGGCAAGCAATGACCTTTCCTTTTCCATCTCTTCTTTTAGTATCAATTGTCCCAGACCTGAGTTTAACTGCAAATGAGAATTTCAAAGAAAAAGTAAGCTAGTGAAAAAGATTCACATTATGCATACTATGGCACAGACAGAGAATTTACATTAAGATGATAGCCACCTTCATTAATTGTTCCTCCTGCAGCTGCCGACGCCTCTGAAGTTCTTCAAGGTCTTCATCTCTGCCAGTGGATCGGCGTCGCATATCAGAGCCTACTTCCATAAACCACAGTAAAAGAACTTCTTATTTCAAGTGTAGGTAAGGAGTGATAATCAACATCTTTCCTCTGAGCTGATTGTTGAAGAAATAAACTAAATACCTAAGTAAATACATAAATAATCTACCAATTTTGCCTCAAAACAGTCCTAATAAGATAATCTCCTGGTTCTGAATCAAGTAATCATTTTTTTGTATGTAAAATCATTTTTATTGCCTCTTACTATCTAATGCATGCTGTTATGTTCTGGAGGGATATACAGTAATAGGGCAGAGTCTACAGCATAAGTAGTAACATTTTGATTAATACTGACAATTTTGTTAAGTAAAGGGATGTGTTGAGAAAAACATCCAACTTCTACAAAATTGTTTGCAGCAAGTCCTTTCATCACAGCTATTATTCTGGTGAAAATATCTTTCATCACTGCATTTCCAATATTGGAGTAATAATTTGACCCACAACCATTTTTATTTATTTCTTCGTTTATTTAAAAAATTGCTGTAATGAACTAACTTTTCCTAAAATGTTACATGTCAATCTCAAATGCTAAATTAGTCTGAAAGGTTACAGGTTAGGGTGTCTACAAACACACTAGCAAAAGATATTATGATGGTGACGCTATTCTGTACTGTTCCTTAGGCCAGATATATGCTGTTTCGAAAACAATAAATAATAATCAGAATTGGTTACTGGATAAATATTTGGATCTGGAAGCCTTGGATATAATAACTTGACATCAGGCTGCCCATACAGATGTACCTGGTGAAAATCCTATTAAACTCAACAAGATTTATTTCTGAGCAAACATGCATAGATTTTATTTCTGATTTTTAAGGACTGCTTTGATGAAAATGCAAACAAGTCAAAATAAAAAAAGAGTGGGCAGGGAAAAGTTCATTAAACCCATTTTTCTCTCCTCCCCAAAGTTAATTACTGAAAACTCTCCATAATTGAAGCTATTTTTCCTTATAAAAAACTATCACTGACAACTTGAATATACATATGCAAACAGAATTGAGGCCAAAGAAACTTTGCTTCTGGATCTGTAGCAGACATAAGTGACATTTTCAAAATAAATATATGGAAGGATTAGCAATTCACTTTAAAAATAAATAAATAGTCTATTTTTATAACAAACATATATTCTGTATTAGGACAATAAATGGCAGCCTGATCTTTCTTTCTTTCCTTTTCCCTTTTTGAGAACTATAAATCCTTTTTTGCTGTTATAATTCCCTCCTACTTTTAATTATGGTGATATCAATATATGATTTTAACAATCTCAATCTTTTATGGTAAATGTACTAACTTCACACACCTAACTGTGGTCAAAATTGGTCAGTTCAATATAGTTTGGTGTATGACAAGGAGCAGCAACTGATCTCATCTCAAGTTACTCTACATAATCCCAAGGACAATCAAATTACTGTGACATAAAAGACAGAAGATTCTACAACTGGCTTTTTGTCATCTTTGGATTTTTAAAAAAAGAAATAGTAATTTAAATAATTATATACATTCTTTCCTTTCATGACACCCCAAACCAGATTCCTGAGACAAACATCTTATGCTGTCTAATGGTAAGTTACACACTGCACAGGGCACACATAATTGTTTTTATCACCTAACATCTTGATACTACTGTCCTATTCCTTATCATTTTGTCTAATGGTAAATCAGTTGTGGAACAGCATGTATGGCCTAACCCATATTTAAATATTCAGATTTATAATATATACTATGAAAGTAAAATGTCACTAGGAGATGTCTTTTTCTTGCATGAAGCTGAGATATAATGCTGGCAGAAGAGAGAATGAATATGGTCCACTAAAATTGTCTCATATTGAATTCCTTAAAGAAGGAATACATGAATCATATTTCGTCTATGCAGCTAGGAACCAAATGATCAAACATAAACAAGATGTCATGGCACACAGGGTCTAAAATAATATTTAGAGAAATGAAACGTAGAATGGAAAATAAAGTTAAGAACTTTAAGGCATAAAAATGATACAATGGCGCCATAATAAATTTTGCTGCTTCAATGTTATTCATGCTGTTACTGTCAACAACAAGCCAAAAGAGACTGGTTTCAAGATGCGGCAGTGACTACACTGCACACCAATTCCAGGTAGAGAAGAGGACTGAACTGGCAGTGGACTTGTACTTCAATATTGGCAGTAGGCTGGCTTTCCTGAAGCCAGCAAACTAGGTTAAGGATTGCATTCAACTTTGTCTTCCAATATGTCAGCATTCATAGCTCATGGCTGATCATTGCTTGTTTGGATGAATTGTGTAGAAGGTGAACAGAGCAATGCATGAGAAGGTATAATGTATGTGTAACCTGGGCTGGATGCTTTACTCTGTGTGTATCCTTCGGGAGCAATATCTGTACACGCCAGTAGAAAGTGAGTAGGTGAGGCAACCAGTGAATCCAAGCCAGGAGGAAGTAAATGTTGGCACGAGATGCCAACTCTGAGGAATAGTTGTAACCAGTGGGGTTGGGCACTATATACTCTGGCGGTACCTTTGCTTTTTAAAACTCCTGTGCTAAAACCCTTAACACCTTTATAGATTCCAGGGAAGCCATTCAAATGAAGGGACTTCTAGTGAGGAGAATCTTGAAGCATCCACCCCTCTGTGATGTAGACTTTGGGGACTGAAATCCCCACAGGTAATTCTAATGCCATCAATCCTATAAAGTTGGTGACACTTCCTCACAACCCCAATATTAATGATATACTTAGCATAACACTCCTAAGAGATTAAGCAGTCAATGCAAAAAAGTTCAATACCCCCCGTTAGATGCTTTCCAGCATTCATAGCAGTCTAAATGTGCTTATTGATAGCAGGAAGCTGTGCATGGGTTTTCACATCACTTGTTTCATACCTACAGCCGCAAGTGAGGGAGGACCTGGCCAGTATTCTGTCTCAATCTTTGGAATCTCGTTGGGTGCTGGAGCATGGGCTGCTGGGAACTTGGAGGACTTGACGATATCATCAAAAGGCTTGTTCTGGGCTGCCAGAGCAGCTGCATCTAGATGGTAATTAGGGGAACTTAAAACTAGCCAATTAAATTGCTGTGTTATGGCCTACATTAATGCTATGGATCTTTTGTATTCCAAGTTCTCTTACAATTCACATATAAGTACTGTTTTTCACATTCTCTTTTAGTAACAGATGAAGTTCATCCAATGAGTCCCAATTTCTGTAATAAAATCCTGAGTTTCCTGAAAACTGCAGTTGTATGGTGCATACAAACAAAGCATTAAAACAAGAATCAAAGGGGGCATTTTTCTCCTGGACTGAGCCTCGTTCCCTCCTACACAGTGTAAATGAGGTACACAGAGCAATTCAAAAGCTGATTCAGCCATCAGTCTTGCCTGTCCCTCGTGTTTCATTCATTCATTCACTTATGAAATTTATTTATTCATTTAAATCAAAGGTCCTTTGGCAGGAACAAACTGGCCTTTCAAAATACCTTGCTGGGTGGCACAAAAGAAGGAAGGGGAAGAGATAGAGGTAGAGGGTGAAGGTGGAGTCCCTCGCAGAATGAAGCTCCTGACAAATTACCCGTGGCTCTTCACAAAAAACAGAAAATCTCCCCAGTTCTGATTTCAATGGTCCCTATTGCCTTATTTAAAAAATAATAATAAATGCACAATTAAAATCATGGCAATCTACAGTGTGTAAAGCCAGTGTCTCCAACAAATTCACAAAACTAGATTTCCCTAAGCTCAGTCCAATAGAGAAAATTGGTCATTCTCAGTGTGGTCCAATTATGTATATAATGCTAGATCTGTATGCAGCTTTTGAATGGCTGGGAATATGTAAGTTTATTGGAATAACAGAAGCTCTACACAGCAGCATTTTTAGTATAATAATGACAATAATGGTATTTTTCCCCATGTGTAGGGAATATACAGTATGTTCAACTTTTCTATGTTACGTCCTGGTCAATTCATTCATAAATATTTGCTCACAGGTCCAGAACTATAGATACATAACTGAAAGATAATTAACTGAATTTCTAGAATTTATGTCGGAATTGCCTATGAATTTTCATTTTAATTCCTTATATATCAGGATTCATTCAAACAACACAAATATCATTTAAAATCTGTTGGAATATTTAGAAGCAATACACTAAAGATGAAGTTAGGCCTTGACTATCTATAAGGAAGCATCACCATGAGATGCACCTAAATTGTGGTAAGGTCAGCATATCATTGGAACTATAATGTTATATTCAGTGCAGAAAAATGACAAAATTCCTGAAAGTTTTAATTAATCCCCTAACAGTTTTTAATTACACTATGTATGAAGCAAGTGGGGAAAAAAGATAAAAAGCATCTGAACAACAACAATAAAATAGAATAGTTCCAACATAGGCTGGTCTGTTGGGGGGCAAGTGGGACTTTTTCAGATGTCAGAGAATTTGAATCAACATATTTTCAGATGTCAGAGAATTATTTAAAGCACAGAAACCTGGTTTTGAATGTGTAAGCAAGATCTCTGAAGGCATACTTGCATCAGGAGAGATTTGCAGCACTTGAACATATTAAAATAATTAAAACAATAAAGGTAGTAATTCTGTTAAAATGAATGAAGCTTTATCAGTGCTCCTTTTTAAACAAGGAAGCTTTGCCCATCCTCTCTATTGTACACCTTTAAAATCTGACCAGTCCCTTCTCATTAAATAAATTCAAGTCCAAGAAAATTAAATAAATGGACTTTTAAAAACATGGCAAGAATAGCAATGAAAAAAGGTATGGTGTCCACAGCTCTGATGGAGTTCTACAACTTTTTTTTCACAATCTGTGAAAAGTTAAGACTTGTTCAAAACATGAATTAAAAATGAGCATGATTGTAGAGGGTTGTGGGAGTGTTGTTGCCTTGTTGGCAAATAGCTACTTAATTATTTTTGCCACTAAACATTATTTCTCTTCAGAGCCCCACTGTGCTTCAGTTGTACATGTTGCTGACAATTTGCATATTCGGTGGGATGGCTGCAAAGGAGAAAGCTATACTGCAAGTGAAACAGAATTCCTGATTGTTCTGGAATCTTGATTTCTGGGGCATCAAAACTTCTACTTACATCTCTTTGCAGCCATGATGTGCTGAATGATGAACATGAAGGATGAACCAGCAGCATGTTTTAACTCCTTCCCTTTCAGATTTCAGGTATGCCACGCACAGAGATATTTTGCAAGCAATATCCAACACAGACTACTCATAATCAACTTCTGAGAGCAGTAATCCATGCTCTGTCTGGGAAAGAAAGGATTGTATTTTCCTAGCTACAGACTAATGGATTGCAGATGTGTTGTGACCATAACATCCAAAAGTCAGCTGCAACTTCTGGATGTTATAATCTCAACACATCTGGGGAGCAGGAGTTTGAAGAAGGCTGGTATTTAAGAAAGAATCAACCAGAAATAGGTATTAATTTACTGACTATGTGAGAGAGAACTTTTGGGTATTTGTTTTTAAACTGTAGCAACGACTGCTCAGAAAAAATACAATCAACTTGGGGGGAAAAAAACTGGACTAGCAAAACAAATGGAAGCTGTCCCAGTGTCTGATGTACTTTCTTCCATTTCCAAGATAACATATTTTAGGAGAAATCCTTGAACAGTGATATAGTTTTAATGGATAAAAAGCAGCTACCTTGGCTCATTGCTTGACACTACAAAGGCATGACTTCAAACAATACTTACGTATTGGAATGGATGAGTTCAGTGGTAAAATATTCACAAGTTAATGGGAGATGAGATGACACAATAAAATCATAAAGAAATAAAAATAACATTATGAAAAAATGAAATGACAGGGTTAAAATTTAAAATAATATAATAAGACACTGTAATATAAATACAATGTAATGATCAGCATTTGCACTCAAGCAAACGAATCTTGTTATATTCTATATTCTGGAGGGCTTCATTTTTTCTAGGATTTTGATTTGCTCTAAATCTTTTTATGGAACCTTTATTTACTGAAACTTTATAATGGTCATTTCTACTGTATTTCCAGATGCCATGAAGAATGTATTTTCAAAAAAGAGAAAAATTAAACGCAATCCCTACAGAAAATATAGTAATAAGACCTTTGTTGTTAATTAGGAAAGTTTAACTTGAGGAATACTCTAGTGCATACTTTCTAAAATGAACACTGCTGGGACTTAAAACTGGAAATACCTTGGGTGTGCAAGAAGTAACAATGATTACTGACTGGGAAAAGGAAGGCACTTGAGGCAGATCTTTCTGTAAGCACTGCCTCACTGTACCTTCTCCAGCCAGGAGCAGTAGATGCAATCAGTCAATGTGGGATTCTCTTCTTTGACTCCTTTACATTCCCTTTTTGGGATTAGCTACCATGTCTCTAATTGATTATTCTCAGACTGTCATCACTTCCAGTTGCTGGTCCTTGTTCTCTCTCTCAATTCTGGTAATGGGATAGATATCATACTAGGCTCTTTATGGGCTAGAATAGTACATAATTTTTTTCCCCATTTACTTAGAATAAAGCTAGATTAGGTGTTTTAGGCTTTCTATCTAAATGTGATTTTCTAATAAAAATTTGTTATTTTTAAAAAGAAAAGCATTAGCTTCCAGAAATCCTTCTCTGAATTACTCTATTATTTTTATTTCTCCCTTACCAGCATATTCTGCTGTATATAGCTATTCCTACACTTGGCACATGTACAAATATACTGCCATTTGTGAGTTTAGATGACTTGCTGCTTGGCTTCAACTTGGAAAAGAGATTCTCATTAGTTACACTTCAGTTTAAGATAGGTCAAGCACAGCAAGACACAGTAGGGACAAGATGTATTCGTATGCCAGTTTTTTTAAAAACCAATAAGAGTTCCAGCAGAGATGGATTTGTTTGGCAGATGATGTCTCTTATTAGATACCTTTCCCATTGCTTTCCATATTCCTAAAGTGAATAATCTGTCTATATACAGTATTTGGAGGAGGAGGAGGGGGGGGAGGAAGAGGAGGAGGAGGAGGTGGGTATTTGTGTATTTTTTTAAAAAATATCTATTTTCCCAAGTCAACAGGAACTGAAGGCCTTTGAAAATATATTACTCTCAAGCTACCTCAGAATGTATAAGGTAGTTTGCAAGGGTAAGCTCTTAGCCAGTCCAGGATGGGAATCAGGGGAATTTAACTAGGGAACAAATTTGGCTGAGAATAGATCATTTTGCCAACACTTCTTCCATTAGGAATGGCACTGAAACTAGTCCAAGGTCTGGTTTATTTTCTTAGGCAGTCTGTTTAGCCAGGTGAAGTTAAGAGATGAGAGTTCAGAAAGGAGAACCACAGCAAGACACCGTCTTGTATGTATTTTTAAAAGAATGGCTCCGTGTGTGATCTCCAGACTGGTAACCATTATGGTTCTTAGGGCCAAAAATCTTCAGGAATGGGTGTTAATAAAATAAAATAAAATTAAAATTAAATTAAAATTGCTTTTAGAAATAGAGCAATAAAAACTCCAGCTGCAAACAAGGTAACTTGTATATGCAGTATATGCTTCTGAATTAGTAATATTTTAGGGTTTCAGTTAAGGTTGTCCCTTCAAATATTCTTAATTTGCCATGACCATTTCTAGAAATTCAAAAGCCAATCTAATATAGAGATTAAGTTGTTGGACCAAGTTTGGTTCTGTATAACCACAGAGCTCATTAGGTGACCGTGGGCCGCTCATGCTTCCCAGCCTATTGCACAAATTTTATTGTGGAGATAAGGCATTGTCAGTTTCTGGGACTAGTTTAAAAACAAATCCTTCTATTCTAATTTTTAAAGTGAAGTAAAGGCAGTTTGAAGTACTAAAATGAACACCAATGTACATTTTTGTGTCAAAGGGGGCCTGTGTAAATACAGTATATAATCATAATGGATTTGCATGCCATACGTAGCAAATGACAAATTAAAATACAGAGGCATATTAAGTATGCCTACATAATTCAAATCTATCTTATTTACATCAACACAGAGAAAGAAAAGAAAAAGAAAAAAAATAATAGTTTTGAAAAGTAAGCAATAACAATTAATATGAAAATTATATGATAATACTAAAGAATTGTATTATTATGTAGTATTTAATTATTTGATTGTCCCATTTTGAAGACAGAAAGAATAAAGTTTACCATGCTGTTTGTAGATAGGCGGTTTTCTATAAATATTGACTCCTTGATCTGTAAAAAAAAATAAAAAATAAAAAGCAGAGAAATATGAACAAATTTACATTTTCAATTATTTTGCAGGAAAGAGAAGAACAAAAACCCCAAACATAAAATTAATGGATGTTCCAAACCAAAGACTTGGCACATGAATCGAAAAACTGTGACACCAAAGTGGGAAGTGTCTTATGAAAGACACCCGCACTCACACAAACGTAGAAAAATATCACAGACAGATGATAAGAAATTTTTGACATTCGTGATTGGCCACGTGGGATGTTCCTAAGGTCTAAGCCCTTTTGCTTATATTCTTAGGGGGTTGTTAGTGAGATAAACATTTCAGGGGAAGTGTAATGAGGATGCCTCAGTTGGAGACAAGAATAATTTGCAAAGAACATAACCCATCATAACAACTGGGAAACTGGGCCACAGGAGCTCAATTTCTTCTCCAACCACACACATCAATGAGGTGCGTTTACACAGAGGTTTCAGAACTTGCTTCTGAAGTTCCCTTTTGAACTACAGCTACTTCCTTCAAGTCTATGTGGCACCTTAGAGAAGATTCTTGCCATGTTTCTTGGTTTGGACCTGAACCAGCTTACATTGCAAAAAGGTTATCTCCCCTTTCAGGAGAATTTTAGGGCAAATTTTCAAAGCTCCAAATTCCAATAGTTTTAAACAGGGTGTTTTTTTTTTAAAATGAGTTTGCTATAAAAGGAAAAGTCCCTATTCTGCTGAAATATAGAAAAACAAGAACCCTAACCATTATTGCATTGTGACAACACAAAGGGGATTCTTAGAAACTGTGCTGTAAAACCAAAATCACTCTTTGGCTTAAGAAATTCTCTCATCTATGTTTACTCACCAACCAGAGAAAAATGGGAATGCTATCGAGTCTATTCCTATCTCAATCCCATACATGCTTACACAGAAGTAAGCACGACTGTGTTTAGTGGAGCTTATTTCTAAGTATGCATATGATTACAGAAAGCTGTATGCATTATATAGTACAGCATTCTTATATTAGACAGCTTGTTGCAAATTAATTAACATGGCCAATCAAAAACTTGGAAATTATAAAAATGATGTTAATAGCTATTATGAAGGGCAATCATTAAAAGCTGTGTTCGCTCCAGAGATTTCAGAAAAATTTCTCACTACCTGCCTACACCTCTTTTGTACACTAAGCAATGCCACTATCTTATTTTTTTATTTATAAGATTCCCAATTTTCCTATGAGAGCTCAAGAGAGCTGACAGCACTCTTTCTTCCATTTTTTCCCCACAACAGCCCTCTGAGGTAGGTTGGGTTAAGCAGTAGTATTGGCTCAAAGTCACATAGTCAGATTTGGAGTCCCCTAAGCATGCACTGGAAATCGATGGCTGTGAAGTTAAATGCTCTGTTGAAAGCAGGTCTATTTCTGTGCTTAAAGAGTTACAATCATAGTTATCACTAGAAAAATATAATTGACATGTTTAACAGCAAATATCCCTAAAATTATAAAGGGACTGGCACATAGCTTCCTTCTCTCTTCCAAGCACTTTGAAACAAGAAAGCTCTGTGATACACTAATTTACCACATGTAACAGGGTCACTTCATGCTGGCAAGGATATTTATCTTTGGATAATATCTAGGGAATGGTACATAACGGATAGTTTTCTTCATTTAAGGAACTTTAGATAAATGATCTGCTTGCCAACAATTTATTCTTCCAAAAAAATTATCTTTTACCCTAAGATATGACCATCTCTAAAAGTATTCCCAGTATCAGCAGTGGATATTGTATAGTCCTGTAACAGCCAGATTAAATGTATGCAAGACTGAAAGTTGGGCTGTACTACTAGAATTCATTTGAGCTCTTGACTCCAACCTCTTGGGATGTGCAGGAATCCATTCTTGAAATATAGCTTCATAGCGGGAAGAAAGCTATTGGAGCAGGGAATTCCCAGATATAATCAAAAGGTTATGGTCCATGCCATAAGGCTTAGTTTTATATGCTGTCCCAGAGCTTTAGATACAGCCTTCTGACCCTTCTAAATGTTGGCTGGAAAATATTAAATATTCTTAATTAATTTCATTCATTTAAATCAAATATAGTTCTTGTCCTGCTCTGTCCATCCTTTTGTCCTATTCTACTAACCATTTGGAGTGCAATCTCCCCATAGACCATACCAAGTCTGTGAATGGTTAAAGTAACTGTGACCCCTTGTCTTACAGCTCTCCTCGCACAGCAGTTCTGACGTGAAAGGGCAACATGAGTTGCAGTGAAAGGTGGCAAATGGGACATGTCAGAAAGCTGATCACTGCTGCCATGTGCCATGGGTGCTCCATAGTTGTGCCAGCCTGCCAGTTTTCCTCTTAGGGATTCTTGGAATAATGAGAGAGACAGCAATGCTGACCAAGAAGGGAGTCCTGCAGTCCTAAGTACTTCAGGAACACCTTCTATCTATCTGACATTTAAATAATATGCCTACAATATTATTTATAAATAGTTGTTGGGTTATATTAAATTAGGTATGCAAAGGTACAGGGAAAGAACTAGAGTATCAATACATCAAATCTAAATAGAAAGTTATTTTGGCCTCTAGACATATCTCTATTGACTGAGAATTATAAATCACAGGGAGTATTAATTCATGTGGAGAGGAGGCAATCAACCTGCCACACTGAGTCACAGGATGCAGCTGTGTACCACAGGAGACAAAAGCTATCTACATATTAATTTGAAGGGTTTTACTGGAAGATTCATGTTCTTTTTTAATTATGTACCAATTGGTGGCTGCTAATCAGAAGACAAACAACATGGATATTCCATGTTCCTAATAACAGCAAAAAGGCTAATACCATAAGAATGGAAGGATACCCCTTCTTTTTCAATTATACAATGATATCAAGAACTTACCTCTATATCGATATTGATAAAGCATTCTGTTGCCATGAGGTTTTCAATGGAGGCCTATTTAGATGTTTTGTCTCTTTATACCACCGTGTTTAGTTAATTTCCCATTTTTTCTAAGACTATGTAAACCAATCAATTGCATAGTATGATATGAACATATACATAAGGCTAATTGAATAATCTAAGAGAGATGATATTCATGTAAATTCTTCCTTTCACTATCCTTAGTTTTTTTTTCTTTTGCAAATTTATAAGAAAAGCTGATCATGTTTACTTACTGTACTTTCAAGTATGCTTAGGACCACATCCTGTATCCTGTTCTTTCTTAAAAATACTAACCAATAGGTCAAATCTCTATGGTGTAATTCTGATTTAAGCAAGAAGAGACTTGGGCCTTGCACTAAACTAAACCACTGTGTATCGCTGTCTTCTCGATGCTATAATTTGGAGAAATATTCAATTTTGTAACTAAAAACCTCCCCATATCCAGCATTTTCTAACTCTTCCCCAAATAAACGAACATGTCTGGATCTCAAACCAATTCAGGGTATACCCCAAGTTCAAAAAAACGAAACAGCATGCAGTGATGGAGACAAAAACAAAGGGTTACAAAGGCTACTACAGTCTACACTTGGACAGGACACCAAGACACATAATGCCACTCCTACCTGGAACATGGAAATGTTTAGGGGCCTGAGCGTAAGTTGGTGTTAGAGGGCGACTGTCGGGCCGATAAGGGGCAGGGGAATTCCGACCGCTGGACGGCTCATTGCCTCCAATGAGGAGAATGGAAAAAACAAACAAACAAACAAACAAACAAAACAAAGAGAGCAGTAAAGAAGCAGGCATAAGTCAAAACCCAACCAAAAGTCAATGGCAAGGGAAAACCAGAGAAGGAAAAACAAGCGAAAATATATACAGGGGGGTTAAGAAATGTGGCTAGTATTGGAAGGCACTGCTATTATGTATTAAAGGAGTCATTCACCTCAGGCTGGAATTTGGCTAACTCGCTCATTCATTCATATCCACCGCATGCGTAAGGGTACCATGCATTTAAATTACATGGAGGAGGTGTGAAAAGGAATGGAAAAAGTTGGTATTACTGGAGTTAAATGTTTCAGTATACAAGTCACAGCATTTGGCAAAATCATTGCTAGGCAAACTGCAAATCAAGTTGGTTTCCAAGTTAATTCTCATGCAAAAGAAGCTCTCATACTTAAAATGATCTCACATGAAAAATGAGCAAAGAGGCTACAAGTTATTCCAGTTAATGTCTGGTGCAGTTGTTCATTCCTTATTTAAACCACATTACTCCTCATTGGAGATACATTTTGTTCAATTGGAGAATCATCTCCAGATAAGCTTCTGGGGAAGGAAGGCTGGCCCAAACATTTTCTTGCCTGAGACAGAAGAGTAAATGCTGTGAGTCCTTCTCCCCTCTTCCCCATGTCAAGGCACATATATGATTAGTACTTAAAGCAGAAAATATCACAAACATATTTTATTGGAAAGATACAGATATAGATAGATAGATATAGTTGCTACCCCGTTTTACTGGAGATATCTGTTATCTGTATCTGTATCTATATCTAATCTCTCTGTATCATTGCTACCCCATTTATGACACCCAAATGAACTGTGCCTAATGGTAAGGCTAGCTCTAAAAAACGCATGGAGGAAAGAACAACAAGGAAGTGTTTGAGTAGCAGTTTTTGAAGCTTTGTGGAGAAAATGCACAGCTAGCTTTCCTCTCCTGTCAACTGCATGGCTAATTCTAGTGATGCAGTCACTTGGAAAAAGTGTAGGTACAAAATTGCAGATGAACCAGTAATGTCCTCTTTGACCTCAAGCATGTTTAGATTTCAGAATCTTTCATGGCCAGCTACATGAAAGAGTTCCTTGTCTTCATGAAGAAGATCACTGCAAATAATAAAGTCCCCCAACTTCTGGCTCACAACAGGATTTATTGATTGACTGATTGCACAGATATACTTTTATTTATTTATTTATTTAAAACATTTATATATCCACCCATCTTGTACAAAACTCTGGGCAGCTCACCACCACCAGTTAAAATAACATCTGTGCACAATAAAAATATTAAAACCACAAATATTAAAACCTGGCACCACAGTTAAACTTTCACTTGCAGTCCACCATGAAGTCTTCTCTTCAGTCTCATCCTATCCCAGCTTTTGGAGGAAAAACCAGGTCTTAAGTGCTTTTCAGAAGGTATTAAGGGGTGGGAGTCTGCCAAAGCTCAGGGGGAAAGGTGTTCCATAGGACAGGGGCAGCCACAGAAAAGTACTTCCGATGGGGAAGGGACTAGGAGCGTGCCCACCCTACCCAATCTGGTAGGACAGGCAGATGTTCTTAGGGAGAATTCTTAGGTCCTGTGCCATATAAGGCTTTAAAGGTAATAACTAGCACCTTGAATTACACCCAGAAGGAAACTGGAAGCCAGTGCAGCTTGTGCAACAGGGCTGTAACTTGGGTAAATCTAGGGGCACCCATCACTGCACACGCCATCACATTCTGGACCAGTTGTAACTTCCAGGTGGTCTTCAAGGGCAGCCTCATGTAGAGCATTTTGCAGTAATCCAAATGGGAAGTGACCAAGTCATGAGTGACCGTGAGCAAGGCCTCCCAGTCCAGGAAGGGGCACAATTGGTGCACGAGACAAATCTGTGCAAAGGCCTCCCCAGCCATGGCTGCCACCTGCTCCTTGGGCAGGAGCCATGAGTCTAGGAAGACCCCCAAATTCCACATCAGCTCAGTCCGGGGGAATGCCACCTCATACAGAGTCAAAGATGAAGTATCACCTGGGCCTGGGGAGCCAAAAACCCAGAACAACTCCATCTTGCCAGGGTTGAGTCGAAGCCAGTTTCTCGCCATCCAGACCCTTACAGCCTCCAGGCACTCAGCCAGCACAACAGCATGACTTGTCTGGCTAGGGGTGGAGATGTATAACTGGGTATCATCAGCATACTGATGATACTGTACCCCATGCTGTTGGATAACCTCCCCCAGCAGTTTCATGTAGATGTTAAAGAGAAGAGGTGAAAGACTCAAGCCCTAAGGCACCCCACACTGCAAGGGCCTAGGGCTCAACCTCTTCTCCCCCACCAACACCGACTGGAACCGGCCATGGAGGAAGAAAGAAAACCACTGTGGCACAGTGCCTCCCACTCCCAACCCCCAAAGCTGGTCCAGAAGGATGTCATGATTGATGGTATCGAAAGCCACTGAGAGGTCCAGGAGTGCCAGAATGGTTGCATCACTCCCATCCCAAGCTCTCCAAAGGTCATCTACAAGTGTGACCAATGCTGCTTCAGTGCTGTGCCCTGGCCTGAACCCAGATTGAAAAGGATCCAGATGATCTGCTTCATCCAGAATCCTTTGTAGCTGCACGCCAACCACATTCTCAACAACCTTCCCTAAAAAAGGAAGGTTGGAGACTGGACGGAAGTTGTTTAGCACTGTTGGGTCCAGGAATGGCCTCTTGAGAAGGAGTATCACCCCCTCCTGCAAAGAGGCATTAACCACCGCTTGGATCCAATCACGTGTCACCTCCTGAGAGGCCTTGACTAACCAAGAAGGATATGAGTCCAGAACACAGGGGGCCAAGCTCACAGTCACAAGGATCCTGTCCACTTCCTCAGAATCAACCAGCTCAAACTCCTCCCAGATAACAGGGCTCAGACATGTCTTCATCACTTCCAAAGGATCTGCCCAGCCAAAGTCCAACTTCAAGTGAAAATGAGCAACTTTATCTGACAGATCCCAAGAATATTCCTCACAGTGGCCTTGCTGGGCTCCCCCAGCTCCTCTTTATCCAGGAGGGACCTAGCCACCCAAAACAGAGCTGCTCGGCAGCTATCTGCAGATGCAATAAGGGTGGTGAAGTAAATACACTTCGCCACCCTTATCACCACAAGGTAAGTCCTAATATAGGCTCTTACCTGTGCTCGGTTGGCCTTATTCTTTGTCTTCCTCCAGTGGCACTTTAGGTGTCTCTTGTGTTGCTTCATTTACTGGAGCTTCTCAGTAAACCATGGTGCTCTACGAGATCCACGTACACAGAGAGTCCACACAGGCGCGATTCAGTCCATGGCCCCCATCACCTGCTCATTCCAAACTGTGACCAGGGCCTCTGCCAAGCTGTGTACCAGAGTTTTGGGAAAAACCCCAAGCTTCCTCTGAAATCACACTGGGTACATCAGGCATCTGGGGTGAGCCGATTAAACAGGCTCCACCTCCCTGCGGTGGGGAGCAGCTATAGAGAACTCTAGGGCCAAGAGAGCGTGATCTGTCCATGGCAAGGGACAGATGTTAATGTCCCCAAAATCCAGATCATGATGCCACTGCCCTGAGGCAAACACCAAGTCTAATGTGTGACCCCTCTGTATGAGTAGGACCATGAATAAGTTGGACCAGGTCCATGGCTGGCATGGTGGCCATGAACTCCTGGGCTACCTCAGACTCTGGGCCCAGAGAAGGCAAGTTGAATTCCCCAGAACCATAAAACTGGGGAACTCCACTGCCAACCCATACTCCTGGAGTATACTCCTGGAGTATAGTATAGCTAGGTTATCACAGTTGTCTCTTGAAAAAAAAAACTTGATGAATAAAAAGATCTTCAATAGGTGCCCAAATGTAACAAAGATAATGGTAGATGTAGAGAGAAGTTATAGATAATAGATCCTAGGGAGAATTCATGTTTTAAGTGTTACTCTCTGATCCTATTCCTAAATAACTTATGACATTTGAATGCAAAACTTGAAATTTGAGGCAAGGGAGAACTAGGATGCTGGGAAAAAAGTCCTACTCTACAGTATTCAGTTTTTAGTTCACCTATCCCAGATGCTCAAAGTCAGTAAAACATTTGCCAAGCATCATTGTAGCTTTTCAAAGAAATGGATTAATACAATCTGGCAGCAAAACACCTAAATTATTAATAACCTACAGTTATTAATGAATATAAATTGATCAAAGAATACACATAATATCTTTCAGTATAGTACATTTAAAACATGTTATGGTAGCCTCCCTATTATCAAGATCTGGTAGATCTTAATAATTTTAATTATAGCCTATTCATGTATTGTTGTTGTTCAGTCGTTAAGTCGTGTCCGACTCTTCGTGACCCCATGAACCATAT